GGTCGATTTCCTTAACTTTTTAGTTAGGGTCGTTGTACTTGTCACCACTAATAGTGTTCTTTATTTGTTTGTTGTGTGTGTGTGTGTGTGTGTGTGTGTGTGTGTGTGTTGTGTGAATATACATAAATACACACGCACAAGTGTGTGGGGTTTTTTTCAGTGGAACAAGGAATTGGGTTTGGGTAGGTGAGAGGAATCTAGTCTAGGAGGAAAATGAGGTGTAGTGGGTGGGGAGAGACTGGAAGCCCAATATCACACTGTTCTGTCCAGTTTGGATAACCCATACTGGCACAAAGGGAAACTTTTGGATTTTATTCTGAACACTTTTATAGACTCACCAATGGTCTATTCTGTACTTTCATTTGGTTACCGTACAACAGCAGTCTTCTAACTTAAATCCATCATTCTTCTGCTCCAAAGTCTTAAGCTTAGAATTTTTTATTTTTTTTAATTTCTCACTGACAATTAGATTTGCTCCTGCACCAGTGCAGGAAAGACTCAGCTGCATGGCAAGGAGCAATGCGATCTATGTGGTTGCCAATATTGGGGACAAGAAGCCATGTAATTCCAGTGATCCCAAGTGCCCCAGCGATGGTCACTATCAGTATAATACTGATGTTGTCTTTGATTCAGAAGGGAAATTGGTGGCACGCTACCATAAGGTAAGAAATAAACAACTTTGCACAGTTCAGTGCAGTAATTCACTCATTTTAATCATATCTATCATTTTTTTCCAAAATTCTATAACTAAAACTATTGTGGAATATGTTTAGTGCCATGCAGAGGATCGGAGTGTGATGCCATGTTAAAGCAGGAGAGGTCACATTTTCAGTGTCTGTAGTTAGAGGAATTTGCTTTCCCAGCCACAGCTGCAGAATCCTAGCTGAGGAAGCTTTAGCCCCAATTTGTTCAAAACATTAACCTTAAATGTTCTGGTCCAATCTAGTTCTTGCTTCAATGGGCAGCCACAATTGACTGCTCTTTCACAAACCTTATGAAGGGCAGAAAATTAATGCCACTGGTGAACCCCAGGCAATGCCTACTTGGTCTCTCTTAGGGCTTGTCTACACTGGCACTGTACAGCGCTGCAACTTTCTCGCTTAGGGGTGTGAAAAAACACCCCCTTGAGCGCAGCAAGTTTCAGCGCTGTAAAGCGCCAGTGTAGACAGTGCATCAGCACTGGGAGCCACGCCCCTTGTGGAGTGTTTTTTTTACAGCGCTGGGAGAGAGCGCTCTGCCGTGACTACACAAGTCAAGTTAAAGCGCTGCTGCGGCAGCACTTTAGTGTTGCCAGTGTAGACTAGCACTTAGGTAGCTAGTGACTTAAGTAGTCAGCTGAGCTTGTGAGGCCTTACATTCAATTTGATGGCATTTCTTCGTTTGGGTGTAATGCGATAGCTTCTGAATGCCACATCCAATCAATTTCAAAGTTACAGGGAATGTTCTAGGCATCCGTGGACATAGGGTTACCGTACATCTGGATTTTCCCGGACATGTCCGGCTTTTTGGTCCTCAAATCCCCGTCCGGGAGGAATTTCCAAAAAGCCGAACATGTCCGGGAAAATAGGGAGGCATGGTAAGGGGACCCCGAGTGCGAGTGGCTGCAGCAAAACTTACAGCTCCCGCGATCTGCTGGGGCACAGAGGCGGCGGGCAGCATCCGAGCACGCAGCCGCCTCCTCCCCGGGCTCCAACTTTCCCGGCTCCCGCTGCTCTCCACCACGGCGGGGGCGAAGCAACTTCCCCAGTGCAGCAGCAGCTGGAGCCCGGGGGCGGGAGGTAGGAGGGGGAACGTGGAGTGGTCAGGGGAGGGGGCGGAGTTGGGGCAAGGAAGGGGCGGAGTTGGGCCGGGGGCAGGGAAGGGAAGGGGCGGAGTTGGGGGGGGCCGGGGCCCCCGTGGAGTGTCCTCTTTTTTTCAGTGTTGAAATATGGTAACCCTAGTGGACAGAACCCTATGGATTTTGGTGAAAACTGGGAAAACCTGAAGGGTATAAAGAGGGACACATGCAGCCCCAGGCATCTGATTGGCAAAGCCAGCAGCTGCAACCACTTTTGTAATTGTCTGTAGAACAAAGAACCAATTGATGGCAGCCATTAACACCTTCCAGCATAACAGCTTCCCCATCTCCGCTCTCTCCATCCTCCCTGTTGTTTAAAGTGTTAATACCCTGAAAAAGAAAGAAAAATATGAAAATAAGAAGGGTGGTAGGAGGAAATAAGGAGCCATGAGGGTGCACAAAAGCCCCTGGTATGGGGGGAAAGGAGAGAATGGGGGACACACAGAACCCTGACATTAGGGTGTCCCTGAAATGGAGGGAGATGGTACTGAAGGAGCTGGGTGGGGAGGAGTGCAAGGAGGAGTGCAAAGAGCCTCTTGGCTCAGTGTGCAATGCTCAGCCTACAGATGCAACAAATTATGTCACCCTCTAGTAAGGAATTATGAGAACAAACTGTGAAACTACAGTAAGTTCCCCAAACTTAAATTTATGTGTAACTGAAATCATGGTTTAAAAGCAAGGACACTAGAAATGCTAGGCCCTAACTTGCGGTATCACTTTTTCTGCTATTGTTGAAATTTAATTTAAGCTCCCAAAAGGCCATTTGGTACCATTTATAAATATGAAGGGACATTCTCTGGGAGTATGAAAAATCCAATATTTCATAAACTTCCTACCAATGAATAAATTCAAATACCATTCATGGAAAAGAAAAGGGAAGCCTGTATACTTTGTCTGACTTCTCTTTTGTCTTTGTAATCCAGCCTCTTTCGATGTGGAAAAAAAATAGAATTTAACAGAAACATAGACTCTGTATTCCCTGTATTTATGTAAACAATCTAACTGCACTGAGTTCCGATTTATATGGCCTAATATATTTCCTTTCTCTCTTTCCCATAAACAGTACAACCTCTTTGTGACAGAAACTCAGTTTGATTACCCTAAGGAGCCAGAGTTTGTCACTTTCAATACATCCTTTGGAAAGTTTGGCATTTTCACTTGTGCTGACATACTTTTCCATGATCCTGCTGTGGTCCTGGTGAGCAAGTTACAAGTGGATACTGTGCTGTTCCCAACAGCTTGGGTGAATACTCTACCACTTTTGTCTGCTAGTCAGTTCCACTCTGCATGGGCTATGGGAATGGGCATCAATTTTCTTTCAGCGAATACACGCAACTCCAGTTTAGATATGACAGGTAATTTACAATCTTGGGTTAACTGATTTGGTATCTTAGGCCCTGATCCTGCAAACTCTTATGCACATGCTTCAAGTTCAGCATGTGAATAGTCCTGCGGACTTTAGTAGAGCTACTCATATACTTAAATTTATGTATGTGTGTAAGTATTTGCAGGATCAGGGTCTTAGTAATGAATGTTTACAGATAGAGCAGAAATAAAATGTTAAATTCAGAACCAAGTTATTTTTTTAGGTTAACTTGTAGAACTTAAATTTCTTGTTAAGTAATAATTGCTGAAGTTTGATTTTATGGTTCAATGTAGTCTCACCACAGACCTTGGTTTTCAGCAATGCCACGTAACTATCGTTTGTTAATCGGATGTAACAAACTTGTATCTCCACTAGGTAGAGACTTAGTACTGATGAATACTCTTAATTGAGTTGTGATGGCTGATTTTCATGCAATATCTGTTTGCTTTATAAACTAATATCAAACTTTCTTTATAGACTTGTGTTCCTTGAATTTTTTTTTTTCAGACTGTTGCTAGGATTCATACATTATAGTTGTGTATGTGTTCATTGTCACAGAGCAATAGCATAGTATACAATCTCATATATCTGTTAAGGATGGGCCTAACACTTGCATAACTATTAATTTCAAATGAACAGACTTGTCATTCCTTTTTCATATATGAGACTTGTCCAATTTATAGCTTAGTATTACTGTGGGGGAGCAATTCCAGTTGATAGCTAGCACTAAACTTTTTGCTTCTTGGGCCCCTTTATTTAGGCATCTTCACAGCCATCTCCACTGATTTTGAGTCATTGCTATGCTAAAGTTAGATGGCCCTATTCTTTCCTCAGAGATTGTTTTTTGTGGGAGGTGGGTTGTTTTTTGCTATTGTAAAATAAAAATGATAGCCACACATTTAAGACCTACATGGAGGTGCAAAGGTAAGGGATTTCTTGGCACATGTTTTCCCTAAAATGTTTTATTTGCTTTACAGTGTTACCAGCCACTCTGCCAAATAAAAACTGAATAAGAGAGACAAGACCAAATCCAACAAGGAATATAAAAGAGTGTAATTTCTACCTTCCTTCCCAATCATTGTAACTTACACCAATTTAGTCACACTTACTAGCATGTGATTTATCTCCCATTACATGTCACTTACATGCTGTGAAACCTTTGCGTTTGGCCTAGTTCCCATTGACGTCAATGAGCATTAGACCAGGCTTATAGTGTGTAAAAGCTTTAATTTTGATTTTAAAATAGTTCTGACAATAATGGAATAAAACTCTGCATATGTTTAACGTGTGATGATAAAGTGCATAATATGAAATGGGTAATTCCTTTCTGATTAAAAGCTCCCTCTTGTCTGTCACTCACAGGGAGTGGCATCTATGCACCAAATGGACCCAGGGCATTTCATTACAATACAGAAACAGAGAATGGTCACCTCCTGGTTGTAGAGCTGAGTTCACACCCTCGTCTTTCTCCCACTTACCCTATTGCTGTCAACTGGAGCTCGTATGCCACAAGCATCAAACGATTCTCACCGGATGACCGTAATTTTAGCGGAGTCATTTACTTTGATAAGTTCACCTTCACTGAACTCACTAAGCCTGAAGGAAATCGTACAGTTTGCCAGAAAGACCTTTGCTGTCATTTGAGCTACAGGATGGTGGAGAAGCAAGAAGATGAAGTATATGTGCTAGGTGCTTTTGATGGCCTTCATGTTGTTGAAGGAGAATACTATTTACAGGTAAAGCTTTTTCTCTTTATTTCTGATGGGGTAGGGTGGCGGAGGGCTGGAACATCCCTTTTCCATTTGGAGCCCTTCACATCTGCCCCACGGGATAGTTAGATACTTCATCACAAAGTGCTTTCTTAAAACAAATGTTTGAGAAATAGGATGCTATTAACCCTACACATCTTCTTTACCCAGTTTAGGATCTTGATGCTTCCTGTTCTGTCTGTGATGTAAGTGATCAGAGGTCTGTGATGTCTTTTCCCAGCCAAAGGCCTGGGTTTATCTTTGATTATAAGGGTTCAGAGAAGTTGGTGTCTGTACCTGGAAGGGAAGGCACACAGCCCTCCCTAGAAATACTAACTTTAGGAGACAGCCTGTTGCAGCACTTGCTGACTCAGCAGAGATGCTTTATCCTGTGGGACAGCTTGTTTCAACTTTGAACATTTAGCATCGGGTTGAAGCGATGCTCATGCTGATAGGACTCTTTAATGTATTACTGGGATTGCAAGCTAATGTATCTAAGAAACAGGGACATAATCCACTCTTTTCACACAGCTTTTGAGTTTGTTCTTATTTCCAGTGTAGTACCATTTCTACAGCATTGTGTAAGCCTAAACGGATCCTTCTGTGTAGGACAGGCAAATATCCCCATTTCACTGACTGCGAAACTGAGAGAGAGCTTAAATGATTTGTTCAGGCCACAAATCGTGTCAATTGCAGAGCTATAATTGAGTGGACACACACACACACACACACACACACACACACACACACAGTGGCACAGGTGAAGCATTCTGTTGAATTACAAGGCATCAGAGCATCCATGGGTCTGACTTAATTATATGAGTAAATATTTTTATAATGCCTTGACAATGAGAGGTTTTTCCTGCTGTCTAAGCCTGGCCTTTGTTTACTGTAAGCTCTCCAAATATATCCCCTCTGTTTCTTCCCCATAGATATGCACACTACTGAAGTGTAAAAGCACAAACTTGAAAACTTGTGGGCAGCCAGTGGCTACTGCTCACACCAGCTTTGACACATTCTCTCTCAGTGGCACATTTGGCACTAGCTACATCTTTCCAGAATCATAGAATCATAGAATCATAGAATC